TGCTTTTCAAAATATGTTATTGAACATAAATAAATTACTACTGTTCTTTATAATGCTTTCACAAGAGAAGTATTTAGCCTCCCTTCTTTCCAAGATTAAACCCAGCCTTTCACCGGACCAGGTGAAGGGTCAGGCCTCCACGCCACTACGTGCGTATGCTATTCCCATCAAGAGAGAAGCATTCTTGAAGTAGGTGGATCTTCTCCCTCACCCACCCCGGGAAGGTTCTTCCTGGACTGTGTCTTCTCCTGTTGCACTCTTTGGCTTCGACTCCTCCTCCACTTCACATGTGAACTCTCACCTTTGTGCTCCCATAAGACCTTGTATATACGTCTATTAGAGCACTGTATTTATCTTATTGTAACTGTTCACATGCTTGTGTCTTCCTCTAGACCAGGGACTGGCAGACATCTTTAGCAAAGAGGCAAAGAGTAAATATTTCAGGCTTTGCAGGCCAAAGGGCAAAATCAAGGATATTATGCAGGTATGTAACAGGACAGAAAACAAATTCCCACCAACTTTTTATTGCTGAAATTCAAAATATAATAATACTGAGTATACACTTTTGTTATACAAGTCTACTATTGAGAGGAATGGGATTCGTTTTTTGGGGATAACATTTTGCTAGCTTGAGGTTTAGTGTTCTTATCATCAAAATTGATTGTAAATATCCATATGTTAATGCTGATCTATAAAGAGGTTTTACAAATTTCATCTTTGAAAACGTTTGTGCACGTACATCAAAAACACCCATTGCCGTCGAGTTGATTCTGACTCATAGCGACCCTTTAAGACAGAGTAGAACTGCCTCATGGGGTTTCCAAGGAGCAGCTGGTGGATTTGAACGGTCGACCTTTTGGTTATCAGCCGAGCTCTTAACCACTGTACCACAAGGGCTCCTGTTCACATAGACAGGCACTGCCATATACTGATATTAATCTATAAGCATATGATTTTAATTGAGCATGTTTATCACACGGAAGGCATGTACAGAATTCTATTAGATTCATCTCTTCATTGTTTGCTTTTTTAAGCCTGTCATTACTTTGCAGATGAATCACTTTTAATTGAAGATTAGATGGAAACTCCTTAACTGCACTCGGGAGGCCCCCCGGCGCTAAGTCGCTCCTCCGGTCCTGGGACCCCTAACCAGTCTGCCTTCCTCTTTTCACCTTTTAAGTTTCCTCATTTTCCTAAGTGTTGCTTTCTTGTACAT